AGATGTGGTTGAATTAGGTGGGTGTTATGATGACAGAATGGTTTTCACACAGTAACATACACAAGACCGTACATGTGCCTGGATCGCTAATTACCGTTTTGACGTTGTCTCAGCCACCTTACTGCCATTTATGGCTCAGCTGGAGGTGATGGACCTGTCCTGGAATGATCTGGTTGGAGGCTCCCTGAAGGCACTAACTGTCCACCTGCAGCATGTAGAAAAGCTGAGAGTGATGAAGCTGTGTAACTGCAGATTAACAGCTCAAGACCTCACTGCTCTCGGTACAGGAAGTATTCATTTATTATAAAAAAAAACAATGTAATTAAACATTTATCTATCTATCTATCAATCTATCATCTGCATTTAATCATCATGACTGAAAGGGGTGTTCACCCAAATATAAAAATATCATAATTTACTCAACCTTATGTTGTTCCAAACTTGTATGAATTTCTTTATTCTGGAAGATATTTTGAAGAATGTTGATAACCAAAGAGTTTTGGTACCCATTGACTTCCATTAAATTTGTTAGTCATGCAATGGGAACCAACATTCATGGTTGCCAACAATCTTCTTTTATGTTCTACAGAAGAAAGTCAAACAGGTTTGAAAGAGAGTAAATGATAGCAGAATATTCATTTTGGGTGAACTACCACTTTAAAAGACCTTACAAAAAATGCACAAGTAAAGCTGAAACCACACACATGAGCTAAAATACTAAATATACACAGCAAATATAAAGACTTTTCTTGCAAAATCATATCTGAAATCTTGAAATTGACCTGATTTAGGGGTGAAACAATCTTGAACAACTGCAAACGTCTCCTAAAATGATATTCCAGGTCAGGCTCTTGACTGCATTCCTCTAATAGAGGTGCTAGATTTGTCCTGGAATATTGGCGTCGGTGCAGGAAATTTCAGACACTTCACAGAACACCTCCAACCTGAAAGCACACTGAAAGAACTCCGGCTGGTGGACTGTCAGCTGTCTGAGACAGACGTTACAGCTCTGAGTAAGACTTGCTTTCTATAAACCATGTGTCAGCAAAGACTATGAAGTTTATAGGTCCAACGCTTGAGTTAAATATACATACTTCGATGAAATATATAACTCCAGTAAAGCTTTACTTATTTTAAATGTCTATTTGAGTAATGTTTTGATAATTAGGGGAAATTGTCATTAAAGTAGTCACAATGGCAAAAATCTAAAAGGTCCTTAATTTCTTTTCTTTTAAGTCGGACATTATTACGAATGCTTAGGAGTCAGTGAATCGGTATCTTATTACTTGGTCCCATTTTGAGTCGGACTACATTGAACAAATTATTCCTATTTTATTTTGTTCATAGAAAATAATTAGCTCAAAAGAATGGTTTGTTCTCAAATCGGACATCATTTTCTGGTCTGATCTATTACTTCAAAATAACTGTATTTGGTTTCTGAATATAGTAAAACATCAAATATAAGTTTATAAATAACTGATACGGTGCTATAGACACTTGAAATGTTAGTTTTTTCATGTTCACTTTTGCTTTTGGGTTCTTAAATTGGGAATTCAGAATAAGCCTTGATTTGAGTCTTGATTTGTTTACAACAAGATCTTTCATCAATATCCTTTTAAAAGCACTGAGATTTTCCTTCAGGTGAGGCTCTTCCCATGTTGTCTAGTTTGGAGGAGTTCGATCTGTCCAATAACAAGTTATCAATCAAGGGAATTGAGAACCTCAGCTCATCTTTAAGCTCAACTCCACGGCTGAAGACCCTCAAACTGAGCATGTGTGGACTCAATAAAGACAGTCTTAGTGTCCTAGGTAAGAGTTATGATCAAAAAAAGCCTTCATTGGCCTAAGCAGTCAATACTATTAGTCATATACTAGCAGTCATAACTATTTGCAACACTTACATTACCTGCCAGGAAGCTCCAATTGCAGACTGTGATTTCTGTGATAAGCGAGTAACCATTTTAATTTTAAAGAATAATTCAATTCATTTGTTTTGTGGAATGTTAAAAGGCCAGGCACTCAAGTTCATCCCTGCACTAGAGGACTTCGACATTTCGTGCAATAAGGAAGCAGGTGGAGGTCTTGCCACACTGGTCACTAACCTTACTCTCCTCACACACTTGAGAAGGTTGAGTATGCAACTGTGCTGTCTAACAAAGGAGGATGTGTTGGCTTTAGGTAAGACTAGTTGACACTAGCTATTTTTATGCGTTATTGCACAAAAAATGCTCTAATATGAAACGCAAAGATGTATGGAAGGATATTTCCTTGACAGAATATAGAAAAAAAAGTACATTCGAAAAAAGGATGGATGGAAAAAAATGTTGTCATTTTTTTTTTTACAACTGACTTTTCTGATAGAATTATGAGGGAAAAAAGTCTGAATTGTGAGATATAAACTTTTAAAAATAATAATAAATAGCTGAAATTGCAAGTTTATACTTCGGAATTCTGACTCATTATCTAAGAATTGTGGGATATAATCTCACAATTCATTTAAATTTGTAATTCTGAGAAAAAAAGTTAGAATTGGGAGTTTATTTCACAATTTTGATATAAATTGATTAAATTTAAAGTTAATTTCACAACTTTGCTACTGTTGATTTAAAGGTACGTGAAGTTGTTTGTATTCTCTTTTGAATTTGCTTTCTCAGTCCAGGTAGCTCCATCTCTCAAAGAGCTCAGAGAGCTGGATTTGTCATCCAATAAAAGTGTTGGAGATACACTCCAGAATCTTCTGCAAACCCTCCCTCTTTCTCAGATGACCAAACTTCCACTAAACAACTGTGCTTTGAGCACACCTGCATGCCGTGATCTTGGTATGAAGCAAATGCAAATTCAGAGAACACTGAACTTGTTTTTGTTTTAAATGAAAATATTCATGTATGTTTCTGTAATTCCGAACAGCTACCGCAATGCAGAAGCTGCAACAGCTTGAAAGTCTGAACCTGTCATGGAACAAGTGTGTGGGGGAAAATCTGAGGCAATTTCTGGAGTCTTTGCAGTCTGATTGCAAACTACAGGAACTCAGGCTGAGTAGCTGTAATTTAACCACTGAAGATTTGCTATATCTAGGTCAGTTTTGGTCAAAGAGTGTTCAATTATAACATTCTGGCTAGAATACACTACAAGACTTGTAGATTTACAGATTTTTGCTCTGATTTACAGCCATTCTGCAGATATGAGTTGATCACAGACTAATCTAGAAGACTATTCTAAATCACTGACTGAGGTTTTTTTTTTTTTTTAGCTTTAGACTATAATTCCATCCAGTAACATATTTGAAATTTACCCCATTTTAAAGACATGGCTTAAGCTAGTCCTAGACTAAAATGCATTTTTATGCTGTTTTAAAGGAGTAGTTCACTTTTAAAAAAACTTTTGCTGATAATTTACTCACCTCTGACACCTAATTTACTCCATGTCATCCAAGATATCCATGTCATTCTTTCTTCAGTCTAAAAGAATTTTTTTTTTCCTGAAAAGGTTTTTGATGAAAACATTCCAGGATTTTTCTCCATATAATGGACTTCAATGGGAACCAAACAGTTCAAGATCCAAAAGACAGTTTCAGTGCAAACTTCAAACTATTCAAAGGGCTTTAAATGATTCCAGACGATGAATAAGGGTCTTATCAAGTGAAACGATCGCTCATTAAAAAAAATAAAATAACAAAGTTTAAGTTTTATAAGCTCAAATGTTCGCCTTGCTATATTCTGTGATGCACGTTCGTGACTCTCCTGTTCAAACTCGTTTATCAAAATGAACAAATCTTTTTTCGTGTCATTTGGTTCATTTAACGAACAAAATTAACGAGTTGATTCAGGAAAAGATTCGTTCATTTTGATGAACGAGTTCGAATAGGAGAGCCACGAATGCTAAACATGGCGAAAGAATGACAAGGATTTCTTGGATGACATGGGGGGTGAATAAATTATGAGCAAATTTTTTTTTTTTTTTCGAAAACTACTCCTTTAACTGAAAGCAACTTTCACTGATATATCTAAAACTATGTCAGTGCCATTCTTTGGTTTTGTTTATTTTTCTAAGGCATGTTCATAAAGGCCACCTAAATGTCCTAATTTAACTAAGGTCTAATCCTGGCTTAATCTACACCCAGTATGTGAAACGATTAAATATTATTAAAATTTTTCAAGTATCTCATAGCATTGAAGTGCATGTTTCTGTTTTTGGAACAACATTCCAAGTCTGGTAATGTGTGATCCTCAGTCATTTAGAATATGATTCCCAGTTTTTCTCTGTTACTGTTTACAGTCTGCCAATGGTTTGATGCCCAGTGTAATCTGTTCAGATTTGAAAAGTCATGAAGTGTAATCTATGAGTATTTTTTGCAAACTGTTGTGATCTTACAGAATCTGCTTGCCAGCGTGGAGTTCTATCCCAGCTGAAGCAGCTGGATTTGTCCTACAATGGCAGCATCGGAGATGGCGGTTGGACGTCTCTTTTTGGGAAGGCTGCTGCTCTAAAGGGACTGGAGGAGCTGGATGTCAGTCTGCGTCCTTCTGCATTCCTCTCTGTCTCCCCCTGGCTGCCCTCCTTGTTGGAAGCCCTTCCGCATCTCTCCTCCCTCACCCGTCTATCTCTGCAGCACTGGTCTCTGAGTTCAGCTGAGAGGGAGAAGCTTGAAAAAGTTCTTAGCAAGAAGAACGTCATCCTGGAATGTGACAGAATGGCTTCGCCCACCCCAAAGGCAGCAGGTTAACGACAAGCATTTCAGACGCTTTGGCAATTACAGTTTTCCAAGTAACTGAAGTTGCAAATTAAGATGTTACTGAGAATGATGTGCTGTTCGAAAGGCTATTTTGTACTTTTTTAAACCCATTTTTATTTTAAGTATTTCAAGATTAATATCTCACAAATTCCATATTAAAAAAAGAGGATGTTTTAACAGCATAGCATTGGAAGTCATTACCATAGTTAACAAGTATTTGAACTGACAGATTTAAATGAAGTAATCATTGTTATATTATTTTGTGTCCTTTCTCATTTACATAAAAAAAGATTGGTTTAGACTGAACTTGCTAAATCAACAACATCTCTCTGGCTTTTTTCTGTCCTGACAAAACTGTGGAAAAATTTGCATGTGACACCCAATACAGCGAAGACTAAGTGTCAGAGCAAACCATTTACATAAATGACGTGTTTTCGCAAACATCATGGGAGCCTGTGACATTTCCAAACACTGGACACAAAAGATGTAGGTTGTTATCTAAAACACTAACCATGTGATTAAATGTAATAAATCCAAATGTAACCAACAGTGTTGTTGATCATTTTGCCTGTCAACTAACAACTGGCAAAAACAACAAAACAAATACAAAATAAAGGGATAATTCTCCCAAAATGAAAATTTTGTCGACCTGTATTTGTTTGTTTCTCTTGTTGAACACAAAAGAAGATATTTGAAAGAATGATGGTAATCAAACATTTGACAAGACCCACTGATTTCATAGAAAGAAATAAAAATATATGGAAGCCAATGGCTTCTGCTTACCGACATTCTTTAAAATATCTTCTTTTGTGTTGAAAGTTGAAAAACTCATAAAGGTTTGTAATGACATGAGTGTGAGTAAATGATGACAAAATTTTAATTTTTAGGTGAACTATCCCTTTAAGTTCAATCCAAATGTGTCTTACTCTGGAGCAGCAATGCATACTTTCAGACAAACCCAAAAATCTTGAATTGTTTCATGAATGTGAGATCTGTAGAGCCAATGAATCTGATACCATCAGGGCCCGTGCTGAATTACTCGAGTCTCCATCCCCATATCTGGATCTCCAATAGTAATGTCTGCATAAACCATGAGACACTTCTGCCAAGAAAACATGGCCATCCACCTCATAGGGAGAAACATCTGTGTGTTCCTCCAACAGTCGCCCGCTGCTTATCAGCCGCGAGAAAGCCTGATCATACAGGCAGAGAGAACATCAAGACATTTGAATGTTGAACACTATTTCATAATGGGAAAATCTATGGAATCTCACCATGCAAACTGGCTCCTCAAGTTTGTTCCCCCATATGTAAATGTGTGTGAGACAGGAATTCACACTCATTGCCTTGTTGAGGGACACAAGACCTTTTTTTCCAATGTTGTTGCTGGTAACAGACAATCTAGGAGGCAAAAACGATATCAGATAAGTTGGACAGCATGAAGAACGGAAATAGTGTTGTGTAAACTTAACAATAGTATAGTATGATAAATAGGAGGACACTTACGCTTTGAGTTTGCTGTGTGGCAGCTTGATAGCTTCACTTAGATACACCGCACCATCATCCTCAATGCGATTGGAAGAGAGATCCAGAATCTCCAAAGAGCAACTTTGTTTCAAAACGTCTGATAAGCATTTAGCTCCATCCCGTGTAATTCTGTTACTGTTAAACAAAAAAAAAAGAAGCAGAAATGTTTTTTTTCTTCCGTGAAGCACAAAAGTAGTGTCATGAGTTGATCAGCTAAAACCTTTGCTATTGGAAGAAGAAAATAAGCCATACAGATTTCAAAACATATGAGAGTGACAAAACAGTGAGAGAATTGTTTTTGTTGTTTTTTTGGGGGGAGAGCTATGCCTTTAGGATCATGAATTAGACAATTGTGTGCATGAGTGTATACCAACGAAGATCCAAGTAGCATAGAGAGGTGTTTAACTTCAGAGCTTCACACAGCATCTCTACACCAGTATCAGTCATGTCATGCTTTCCCATGTGCAGTTCCCTCAGTGTCTTATTCACCATCAGCATCTCTGCCATATGGACTGTTGTTTCCTCCTGTCAATTGAGGTAAGATTGCATTAACCATTGAAAAAAGACTTTTTCCATTTATATTAATTATAAAATTAGTATATCGAAGCACAATTTTCATAAAAACATACCTGAAGACTGAAAATAAGAGGTCGACTAACATTAATGGCACGGATTACCCTGTTGTTCTTCAGGACTATGGCAAATGCGATTACACTTTGTGTAGCCTAGAAAACAAGTACAATTCTTTATTTTACAATATTAAAATCCTTTTTCTGGTTATATTTGTGTTTGGGAAATTTACCAGATCACAGTCTGAGACATCTACTTCTTCTAAAGTAGCATTAATCTGCAACATAGCAGCCAGTTGCATGCCACCTTTATTTCCAATCTTATTTCCAGTCATTCTGAGTGTCTTCAAACTTTTATTTTTCTGTAAAATTAACAGAAAATACATGTATGGTAAAAAATAAATAAATAAAAGCCTACCGCTTTCAACTTAAGTTCATTGCTGCTTTAAATTACTTTAAAGTAAAATCAAGTCATTTCAATTCAATTATATTAAACTGACTGAATTGAGTTGAATCTCACATAACTTATAAAAATGAGTTATTTGATGAGTTAAAGAATTGTAAAAAGATACAGTATGTTGCCATGACTTACTGATCATTTCTTTGCCATTAATTTTAGATCTATCATCAATGTAGAAATAAATATTACATTTTAACACTAATTACAAATCCAAATTATCCACTTACATGCAAACTTTTGGCTATCACTTCTGCACCATCAGCCTCGATGTTATTACACATCAGATCAAGAGATTGAAGGGACTTACTCTCCTGTTAAAATGACAATATTTCTTTAAGGTTCTCAAGTGTTCAGATTGGTTGAAAATAGAAACCTAAACAGCTGGTCTTTGGAAAAATGATTTAACAACATAGTTACCTGAATGAGGTGGGCAACATAAACAGCTCCTTTGTCTGTAATACAGTTGTATCTAAGATCTAAACCTGCAATGAAGTTTCCTTTCAGTGATGTGAAAAAATACTTTTCTTGTGATTGATTTGGTGACATGACGCCAAGGACGACACAAACGATCAGGTATCGGTTACAATGAACTTTCTAATATTATTTGCAGACTACATTGGTTTATGATTTGCGTGTCTGACCTGAAACTGTAGGAAACCTCTAATCTGGGTAGGACGAGTTAATATTTACCTTTTATAGCTGAATCTCCCACGAGTGTTTTTGACAAGACCAGCACATCTTCATCCGTCAGTCTGTCTCCATTCTTCAGTTGATCATTACCTGTTAGTTTGAGTGAGCCATCGCTGCATAAAAACACCAACAACATAAATTAACAACATGAAACAGCCAAAATGAGAAATAACTTTATATTTTAATCTTACAACCAACCTGCTGTCTTCCAAAACCTTCAAAACACACATATTTGGGGGCTGCTGATCTTCAGCACATATAGTTAAATATCGATTCATAAAGTCTACCATTCTTAACGCTCTGTGTGAGGCTCAATTTGAAGTTGCTATGCCAACATGGAGTGCGCCTGCGCAAGAGCGACATCTTCAGGTCGTCTGCTCTCTATTCATTATATAAAAATGTAGTTAAAGAAACAAAAAGGCCTGGTTTCACAGACAGGTCTTATATTAAGCCATGATTATGCCTTTTTTATTAGGACATCTAACTAAGTAGCTTTAATAAAACTGTAAAAAATGTGCATTTTGAGACTAAACAACGGCACTGAAATATTTCAAGAGTGCCAGTTGCTTTCAGTTAAAACAGCTAAAACATGTATTTTAATCCAGGACTATCTTAAGCCTTGTCTGTGAAACAATGGGCAAATGTTATAAATCGCTGAGAAAGTAAAAAATGCCTTTTTAATCTTTGTTCACTGATTATCTTCCTCATAAATTCATTTACATAAACTAGGCCTATTCAAAATATATGGATACATTTAGTCTTTTTTCTCTTTAAAATCATCCTAGGGGACCGAAAACTTCCACTAGTTGAAAAAAAAAAAAAAAAAAAAATCAACCTTATATAGCAACAGTGGCATAGTAATATTGAAAATATGTCTGTAGTCACATTTGGGTTCAATTCTCATTATTAACTACAACTTTTTCCTCAGTAAACTCCTAATTACTGCTTATTAATTGTTAGTAAGGTAGTTGTTAAGTTTAGGAATTGGGTAGGATTGGGGACGTATTATATGGCCATGCAGTGCTTTATAAGTAATAATAAACAGCCAATATCCTAGTTATATGCATGCTAATAAGCAACTAGTTAATACTGAGAACCGAACCCTAAACTAAAGTGTTACCCTGCGGTCTTCAATGAATTTCATGAATACGTTACTCAAAAATATATATCAACCACAACACATATTGAGACGTGAGATGATTTATTATAAAAGCTGCCCAGTTTGTTAGAGGATTATTTCACATAATATATGAAATGTTTCAGAGACTGGGTCGTATAACATTTTAGGTATTTACATTTCATACTTCTAAAAGACAAACGCATAGTTCAAAAACATCAGAATGACCAAGTCAGTTGTAATGTATAGTCGCACTGTCCTTTCAATTTAAATAGAAAAATCTTTTTTTAAACATATGGACCAAAATGCTTTTTCCAAGCATAGCATTTTATTTTACAGCTAAACCTAGAGTTGGCCTTCCCTTCATTTCAGAAAATACTTTATGCCTTTAATGAACCAGATTCTGCAGACATTAATAAGAAAAAAACAGAGAGAAGCCTCACACACTCACACAATAGCTTTGTATAACTGATATCTGCTAAGAGTTTGTAATTCAGATGATTAGAAAACAATCATAACAAACTGCTTCCGCACTGGCGAGACTGATCCTACCTTCAGTCTTCACTTCATGGAGAAAACACACTTAAAATAGAAATAAAACCTGGTATTTTAATCAATGGTCTGAACGATGACAATCTGCGTGTGCTCCATCTCAGCAGTCGCAGGGATTTCATACTGTTCCACAACGTAGCTGACTTGCTCGCCAGATTCTCCGTGTTGGATGAGAACAGGCGCTTCGGATGAGTCCGCGTGCTGGAAGATCATGGAGGGCTCTGACCCGTCTGCGTGCTGTATGATCATCTGCGGTTCTCCCGACTGTTGGATGATGAGCTGGGCTTCGGGGGGCAAAATTGGCAACTGGGACTCCATCTGCATTTCATGGTCTTGGGAATCGACAAGGGCAGAGCGCACACGTGCAATCAGGCCCTGGTGGTCGATGGGGATGTTGAGAGGACACTGCGTCGTGTTGGTTTTCACAGTCTGAGTCTGCTCTTGTTCAGGAAGAACTGAAAAGTATGTTTTAAAATAGACATTTAGATGAATGAATAGATCGATTCAGCAATAATATATGACTAAACAAGAAATAACACACACCATTATGCTTCAAAATGCTGTGCTTCTTCAAGCTATATATGTCTGAAAACATGTTCCCACACAGGTTACACCTCACTTTTCTTGAGCCTAAAGGCAAAAGGTACCTAAATAAATCCATATTTGGAAATACAAGGTTTCCATTTTGAAAACACACAACTTAAATTTACCGTTGTGGACGTCCATATGTTTTCGAAGTTCTCCAGCGGTTAAGCAAGGTTTTCCGCAATCCAAGCATATATATGGAGTCACACCTAAAATTGGAGTGCATTGATTAAAAAAAAAGTCATTGATTAAATTGACTCCAAGTGGCATAGCAACAGCTGACAGCTTTTATGAACGCATAATAAACCCACCGGTGTGTTTCCGGGTGTGAGCGATGAGAGAGCTGGACACAGCGAAGGCCATGCCGCAGGTGTCGCAGATGTACGGTTTCTCTCCTGTGTGTCGTCGCTTGTGGTACATTAGAGTGCTGGCCTGTGTGAAGCGCTTCCCACATTCTCCACATTCATACGGCTTCTCACCACTGTGCTTTCTGAGAGCAAACGGGTGAGAAAGAGAAGTTGATGGAAACTTATTAATGTGTAAATATGTATAACCAGATAACATTGTGAATATTTTATCATTGTATCATTTAGTCTAGTTTTAGTTAGATTTACGCAAACTTTCACTTTACAACACTAAGACTAAGACTTGCAATCATGTTTAAGTGTAATTTTATCAATGAAAATGAACTGGAATTGTTCTCATGAATTGCACTAGATACCTTATGTGAATTTTTAAATTGCTAGATGTGGCAAAAGCCGCCCCACAGAAATCACATTTATGTGGCTTTTCTTCTCCGTGATGCATGCGGCAATGATAGACCAGCTGACACTTCTGAGCAAAACGTGCCTCGCAGGACGTACAATTGAAGGGCTTCTCTCCTGAAAACAGCACAGAACATGCATCACTCCACATAAACCTATCAACAAAATTATGACACAGACACTGCAGTTCAAAAGTTTGGGGTCAGTAAGGTTTTTTTCTTTGGAAGAAAATTTTCTGTAGCATGGACGCATAAATTGATCAAAAATGACAATAAATACAATTATATTTTTCAAATAAAAGCTGTTTTTACTTTCTATTTATCAAAGAATAATCATGAAAAAAAATTCATCAAGGATTCCACAAAAATACTTAAAGCAACTGTTTTCAACATTGATAATAATAAACGTAAAAAGTAAAATAGTAATTACCGGTATGTCTGTTTTTAAAGTATTTTTGATCAAAACATGCAGCCTTAGTGAGCATAAAAGTGTCAAAAAAAATCTTACCAACCCCACACTTTTCAATAGACCATTTCACAAGATGTAAACAACACTGGTCCAGAAGCACTTCCTGTTTCAGTTTTTTAACACTACATAAAAGCTGGGATAAAATACAACCAACAGAACATTTAAAACTGAATCAAAAAGTTAAAAAAAAACATCTTTAAGATGTTTTCTTTACATGTGAAAAAGAAAACAGTTACAAACTGAAACAAGAAGTGCTTCTGGACCAGTGTTGTTTACATCTTGTGAAATGGTCTATAGAAGCATGTATTGATCACCAAAAATTATAATATCATACTATAGCTGTACTTTTTTTGGTCAAGACTGGATTAATCCATAAGATTTAGTGTAATAATGCAGTGTAACACATTCATGTCATGTGAGAGACGTACCTGTGTGTATGCGCATATGGGTCTTCAGTTGGTTGCCCTGTCTGAAGGAGCGCGTACAGAGCTGGCACTGATAGGGTTTGAGGCCCTTGTGTATGCGCATGTGTCTGCGCAGACTGCTCATCTCAGAGAAAAGGTTTCCGCAGATGTTACAAATAGGCCTGTGTTTGTCCTGCAAAGGTTTCACTTCCTCTTCTCCTGCCCAGTCCTCGTTGTCATTGCCAAATTCGTCCTCCTCTTCACCGTCATCATCTTCCTCATTACTTACTTGGCTTTCTTTCAGCTTTCTACTTAAGCTTCTCTTTCTGGTGCTGGCGCGGATTTTCTTCGCAGCGCTTGACTCGGAGTCTTCTGTACCTTGAGATGAGCCTTCTTCAGTGTGTTTCTCAAAGTCTTGGTTTGCTTCTTCACCAGCTTCTTCTCCACTGTTCTCTATTGGATTTGAAGATTCAAGTGCCTCAGAAGAAAGGGGTTTAGAACGAGGTCTTCCTCTTTTACGACCGGTGCCTTCGTTCTCTTTCGTTTTTGCAGTTTCTGAGCCGTCTTCGGTGTTTGTAGTTGCGGTCTCCGCATTTGTAGTTTGGTTCTCAGTGGATAACGGCTTAGTCCTTGGTCTTCCTCTCCCTCGTTTGGAAGCCGCAGCTTCACCAGGGTTCTCTGTATCAGTCTTTTCCTTACCGTCATCTTCCTCTCCAGCATTCACAGCGTCGTCCTCAACAACCTCTGTTTCATGGGTGTCTCCTTGTTCTTCGTCTTCTTCAGGTTCAGCTTCAGATGGTAAGGGTTTAATACGTGGACGTCCTCTTTTGCGGGTAGGGTTCTCCCCGTCTTGATCTTTGTTTGCTACGGAATCGTCTTCGGCGTTACCAGAATCATCTCTATCTGTGGACAAAGGCCTAATCCGGGGGCGACCTCTTGGTCTTCCGGATCCTCTCCCTACAGAGCTGCTATTTGGATTGATGCTTTGCTGTGCTGGTGATTGATCAGTTGAATCGAAACCCAATGGCCTCAGCCGTGGGCGACCTCTCGGCCTCCCCCGACCTCTTCCTCTGCCTCTTTGAGCAGCAATGCCCTCCCTTTCAACATCATCCTCATACAACCTGGTTTTGGGTTTCCTCCCTCTCTTGCCGATTCTGTGGGGAGTTTGTTCGCTGGACGACTGGGCTTCATCTGTAGAGGCGGGATCATCCTGAGACCCATCTTCTTTCCCTCCCTTTAACCACATCCGTTCCTCCACCTCTGAGATCGGCTCTAAAGGTTCATAGTCATCTGGGCTCAGGGGAGAATGTGGATCTTCATACTGTATTTGTCTAGCGGGCGAGCCACCAGTTTTGAAATCATCTTGGGATAGGGTACAGCGAGCCACAACCTCGGGCATACCAAGATAAGATGCAGCTTTTTGAACACTTTCTATTTCATCCCTGTAGACAACAAAGCACAACAAAAATGCAATGTAAGACTGGAAAACTGGA